TGGAGCCGTCTTCTGTGCTTTCACTCGAGCCAGTATAATTCTGTGACAATCCGGGCAACCCTGCCGTTTGCACGTAAGACATCCCGGCGGCCGGGATAAGCCGTCTGCATTGGCATGCAATTTACCAGGACGGTGCTCAATCCGCATGTCGAATGTGCCTAAATACGCAATCCACCGGGCCACCATGCCTTCCGGCTTCTTGAAGTTAAGAAGCCATGTCAGTGAGGCGTGATCTGTTCGGACTCGAAATGGCCGGCCGATAATGGTAGCGATGGAACTGCTTGGCAAACGTTACGACAGCCAACAACTCACGATTCGTGGTACAATACCTCCGCTGAGTTGGACCGAATGTCTTACTGGCATAGGCTATGACCTTCTCATCTCCATCTGGCACTGGCATCAGTATCCAGTATGAACTCGCCATCCCCGTGGGGATATACAAGTACTGGGCAGAGGTGAGTTGCCGTTTAAAAGTATTGAAGGCCTCCTCACATTTATCTGACTACCGAAAACAGACACCTTTCCGGGTAAGCTGCGTCAGTGGGTGCCCTGTAGTAGCAAAGCCTGAGATAAATTGCCGATAGTAGTTAGCGAATCCCAGGAAGCTCCGCACGTCCACAACAGATCGCAGCACCTCTCACTGTCCTACCGCTTTTACCTTCTCAGGATCACATTGGACGCCATCGGCCGTCACAACGTGTCCGAGATACGAGGCACTTCTCCAGAATAGCGAGCACTTTGTCGGTTTGAGCATCAAGCCGGCATTTGCCAATCGGTCAAACACATGGTGGAGGTTGGCCAACGCCTTATCGTCAAAGTGAAACCTATCATTGAAGTAGACTAAACACTCCGTTCATAGCAATCCTCGAAGGACCAGCTCCATCAACCGTTCAAAAGAGGTTGCTGGGCTATTACATAACCCAAATGGCATGGCATTGAGACGAATAGACCCTGGCGAGTACTAAACGCCGTTTTGGGAGCATCCCTTGTGTCCATCTTAACCTGCCAATACCCGCTCGTCAGATCAATTGTGGAAAACCACTGGGCACCGGCCAGGGAATCCAACGTATCGTCGATCCTTGGAAGGGGGTACGCATCCTTGATGGTAACCTCATTCAAGCAGCAATAGTCTACACAGAACCGGGTACTGCCATTCTTCTTCGTAACTAACACGACAGGGGAAGCCCAAGGGCTACTGCTTGGACGGATCATGCCATCACGAAGCATTTTTCCGACCTCCGTATTTATCAC